CCAGCTTCCCAGACCCCTGCAAGGCGCCCCGCAGGCTGCCTACCCCCCACCCACCACCACCACCACGGGGGCGATTACTCCGAAGCCTAAGGAGCTCTCTGATACTCCTTTCTCCCTCCTTCAAATCCTGCAGAAGCTGCCAGGGAAATTCAAGAACTTGTTCCGTAAATTTGAGAACCTCACGGTGAGTGGGTCTGGCTTCTTCTGTGGAGACCTTCTGTTCCCATAAACTCTCCATGTCATCTTTCCCTTCCAAGGCTATTGGTATCTGGGACCCTCTGGACCCTTCCCCCACCATGCTGGAAGCGGGAGGATGGAAGGGTTGTTGCCCCTTTCCCCCTGGCAGTCAAGCCTGCCCCCCTCCACCCCGAACTAGACACCCACACAGCTTGCTCGCTCTCTGATGGGGGCGTTCCAGTGCAGGGGGTTGGGGGAGTGGTGATGGGGCACACTGAGTTTGGTTTATCCGTCTGTGGAACGCTAGGACCCCTGCAGGAACCACAAAAGCTACCGAGAAGTCATCTCCAAAATGAAGCCCCCCGTGATTCCCTTTGTGCCTCTGATCCTCAAAGGTGAGGCGCCTTCCTTCCCAACCTGCAGCTGTCCCATCCCATGCCCTGAACCCTGCCCTGTTCCTTAACCCTGCTTCTGACTCTTATCCCTTCTCCAGTTCAGCTTGGGGTGTCCACCTGGATAGGGGTTTCTGGGGGGAGGAGAGGGGCCCTTGGTACACGGGCCATTGCCCCTCGGCTCTTGGCTTTTCCTCACCTTCCGCCCTGCTCTCTCCCTGCCCTCTAGACCTGACATTCCTGCACGAGGGCAGTAAGACTCTTGTGGATGGTTTGGTGAACATCGAGAAGCTGGTGAGTGGTACTGCCAACTCCTGGTCCCATGAGTGGGGGGGTGGGGGGTGCTGGCGCCTGCCCCCTCTCTCCTGGCACCTCCCTAAAGATAGCAGCCTTCCTGTGTGGTGCCCGGCTTGCCTAGCAGACTTCTGCCTGTCTCCCCGGAGGCATCACTGTGGTAACCCACCCACCAGTGGCAGAACTGACAGGCACTTCGGGGGCACCTCCCTCTCCCCCACCTGGCACCCCGATACACCCCCTCCTTTGGTCCTTTCAAGACTCTGCAGACTGGGGGGACTGGAGAGAATAAGCCCAGTAGAGTTGGGGGTTGGGGACTGGGGACACGGTAGGGGGAGGGTCTTTCTGTGCCCTGCTTAGGGCTCATTCCTTGGCATCTCCCAGCATTCCGTGGCGGAAAAAGTGAGGACAATCCGCAAATACCGGAGCCGGCCCCTCTGTGAGTACCCGGGGTTCTGCGAACACAACATGGGTCAGGTACAGCCTTGACTGGGAAGGGAGGGTTTGGGGGAGAGTTTCTGCTTCAACATCCATATCCCGAAGCCTGCCAAGTGTCTGTCCACCCTCTCCTGGGCCTTTTCTCAGCGCCTCCTGCCCAACACGGCTCCCACCCGGCACCCTCTTCTCTCCTCCTCCTCTTCTCCCCTGCCCAGTGCCAGGGTATGAGGAGGCAGGGAGCGAGCACAGCCAGGGCCAGGAAGCTGACCGAGTCCCTCCTTACACCCCCTCCCCCCAGGCCTGGACATGGAGGCCTCCCCTCATCACCTGCAGACCAAGGCCTACGTGCGCCAGTTCCAGGTCATCGACAACCAGAACCTGCTCTTTGAGCTCTCCTACAAGCTGGAGGCCAACAGCCAGTGAGAGTGGAGGGGCCGGCCAGCCCCACATCAAGCCCACGGGCGCCTGGCACTAAGCACTTTGCACACCGCCCGCCCCAGCCTACAGCTGCCACCTTTCCTGGGAGTCCCGTGGGAACGGGGACAGACTTACCTTCAGACTCAGAAGCCTGTTCACCCTGCTGCCCTCACCACGTCAAGCCTAAGTCACCCTTGGGCCCTCCCCACCTCCCCACCTCCCCTCGCCAGGAATAGGAGGTGGATATCTCCTCCTGTCTCCTTGTATCCTGGGCCGTTCCAGATTTGGTTTCAAACCGCCCCTTCCTGAGCAGGAAGGAAAGCTGCCCACCCTCAGTCTTCCAGAGTGGAATTGTGGGAGGCATGGGGGGAGCCTTCCTCTTCAACCTTTTCTCTGGATGGGGCTGGGGCCCTGGGCTATCATCCCTTGGAATATTGTATTATCGTGTGTGTGTGTGTGTGTGTGTGTGTGTGTGTGTGTGTGTGTGTGTGTGTGCGCGCGCGCGCGCGCGCACGCGCGCGCGCCCTCTGGAACAGAGCCCGCGTGCATCTGGTGATTGAGGGAAGGGGCTGAATGTGCTGTGTGTAGGGGTCTTGTGTGTGGTGCTACCCTGTCGACTCTGCCCCTGGGATGGGGTAGGGTGTCCGCTCCCACCCCACCACTCCCTGCCTGGCCCCTCCTGCCCAGGCTTGCAGGTGAAGCTGCCCCTGAGAGCACGGAGCAGAGGCAGGTGGGAGTGGTTACCTGTCTGCTCTTGTGAGAACCCTCCCCCTCCAGCCCTTCAGAAGGTCCCTGGGTGGGCTCCGGTGAGGGGTGAAGACGCTCAGGGAAACACAGGTCTCCGCTGCCCACAGGACCGTCCTCGTCTTTTGCAGTGGGGTGAGATGCCGTGGGTTCAGCGTTGGGGTGACAGCTACCCACACTCATGTTTTTGAGAGGTTGTCTCCCTGCTGAGAAAGGAGCTGGCTTTTCCTTCTGACCCTAGTGTCTGACACCAACCATGTGGTCTCTGACCCTCTCTAGGTCCAAACTCCCCCTTTATCCTCCCCATCAGAGCTAGGGTGAGGTGGGTCTGTCTTGGGGCAGACAGGTTACGGGGAGAGGGGTCAGCAGAGACCGTAAAGGCGAGACTGGGTTTTGTTGGCAATGCCTTTACTACCTCTCTGTCCCTGCTTCCTCCGCCGCTCTGGGCCGCCCAGGCTGAGGGGCACAGGGCCTCCTGGCACAGCCTCGCCCTCCTCCGGCTCCACCTCTTTCCCTCTCGTAGGGGCCACAGCGGTAGCCCAGGTAGCTGCTGCTCCTGCTCCGAGGTGTATATATTTTTTACCAAAAGCTCTGGAATTGTACATTTATTTTTTAAAACTCTGAGGGAAAGAGCCTGTATGATATGTAAACATTGTATCATAGGATATGTTGTACAGTCCTCCTGTCCCTTTTATACAACGGTCTGTCTTGTTCCTGCCACACACAAAAAGTCTACGACATCCCTGCCCTGCCCCAGCACACACAAGCGCTGTATCTCAACCCACCCTCCCTTACAAACAGGCCATCGCCCCTCCCCTGCTCCCCCATGCGTCCCGACAATTGCTGATGGCTCCTCTTCCCCCTGGAGCCCCCCAAGAGCTGCCCACCTTTCTTCCTAAGCCCTCAGTAATCTCATGCCAACTCCCATAAGCCTCCCAGACCAATCGGTCCAGACTTGGACCATGCTCACCCCAAGCCTTGTCGCCTGCCCTGGGGCCTCCTGGCCCCGACCCCACACCCCACAGCTTAACAGAGTGAACCGTGTATACTGAACAGACTTGGTTATCCTGGCAGAAATCTCTGGGTGGAGAAAAAGCTGATAAAGTCTATAAATCCAGCCACCTGCTGTTTGCCATTCTGTGTCTCAGTAGTTGGGGGAGGGCTGAAGGAGATGGCAGCATGGATTGGTGCAACCACTTAAGAGAATTCTTTGGCAGTATTGCTAAGACTAAATATATGCCTAACCCGTGACCTTGCATGTCCATGTCTGAATATATATCCAGGATAAAGACTCGTACAACAATGATCGTAGCAACTTCACTGATGATAAAGAAATTGGGGTGGGTGGGAAGCAGTGTCAAGCAAGTTGTACTGGAGTCATGCTGTGGAAAGAAGCCCTGGTGGCACAGTGGCTAAGTGTTTGACTGCTATCAAAAGGTTGGTGGTCTGAACCTCCCAGTCACTTTACAGCAGCTGTTGGTTCTCAACCTGTGGGTTGCGACCCTCTTGGGGGTGTTGAACGACCCTTTCACAGTGGTCGCCAGATTCAGAACAGTAGCAAAATGACAGTGATGAAGTAGCAACGGAAATAATTTTATGGTTGGGGGGTCACCACCACAGGAGAAACTGAGTGAAAGGGTCACGGCATGAGGAAGGTTGAGAACCACTGCTCTACAGGGAGGGGACCTGGGGAACTGGTCCCGTAGAGATGACAGCCTAGGGTGGGAAACCCTATGGGGGAGTTTAATCTGTCCTCAAGCATCACTAGGGGCCACAGTCAGCTCAATGACCTACAACAAGAACATACGATAAGCATTTGCTTTGCAATCAAAAAGAACAAACTATTACCTGTAATGACTGCATCTTCCAGACATGATATTGAGTGATAAAGGTCAGACACACAAGATGACATACTGTATGTTTAGCTTCTCCATGAAGCTCAAAACCAGGCAAAACTAAGCTATGAGGTTAGAAGTAAGCAATATCGGTTACTTCATGGGGTGGGAGAGAATATTGACTGGAATATGAAGGAGTCCTTTGGGGTGATAGAATTGCTCTAGCTTGTGATCTGGGTAGGGGTTACATAAATGTGTATTCAGCGGGATTCTCTAGAACAGTAGAAGCAGTGGAGTGGATGCATATAAATATCTGAGGAAGTCTTTAAAAAGTTCATGGAAAAATGGGATTAAAACATGGAATGTTTCCACAAGCTTTTTGAAGCCCCCTTGTATAGAGAGAGATCCATTTCTAGGGCAGGCTCACACAGTTGAGGCTGGAAAGTCCCAAATTGATGGGTCAGGTGTTAGACTTGAGGCTTCTCCTGACTCATCTGTGGTTGCAGCAGCTGATAAACCCTAACTGCCAGGTCAACCATGATCTATTGGCTGAGCGGTGTGCAGGAGCTGGTGAATTCCAAAGTCTGCAATCAGAAATCAGGCTGCTGGCTCACATCCGAAGGACTTGAGTTGGGTACACTATTGAGAGAGGCAGAAAGGGAGTGGGGGAGGGCTAGTCAGAGGGAGACCACTTGGACTTTCAATGAGTTCACCTTTCAACTCATTGACTGCTCACACCTGATCACAAAATGGAGATGGTTCCACTACCTACATCGTGTGTGTGTATACATGTTACACCATACACACTGTGTATATACGAGAGGGTATCCAAAAAAAAAAACCAATTTGTTTTTCAAAACTATATATTTAAATTATTTTACAAACAACCTTATCACCTTCAAAGCGCTCTCCATTACCCTAATGCATTTGTCAAATCTGTGAACCCATTCTTAGAAGCAGTTTTCAAAGCCATCTGTTTGATGGCTGACAGCAACTCCCTCATTTTTTTCTTCACTTCTTCTTCTTCTTTCTTTCTTCACCTCTTCTATGTTTCACGTCCCTCTGCCTTCGAGGAAACAAAAATAAGTTGCTTGGAGCCAGGTCAGGTAAGTCAGGTGCGTGGGGCAAGAGAGGCATGCTGTTGTTTGCCAGAAACTGGCTTACTGAGATGGCTGCGTGAGCAGGTGCACTGTCTTGCTGGCAAAACCAGTCTCCAGTCTGACACAAATCAGGCTTTTTTGGTCACGCACTATTGCACACAATCTTTTCAGAACCTCTAACAATCTGACCTGGGGGAACAAACTCAAAATGCACTATCCCCCTCATATCACATCCAGGTTTTTTTTTGGGGGGTACCCCCTTGTATGTTATCTACTTTATGTCCATTATGTGAGGGCAATCTGTCCAATATCTGCCAAACCACTGAGAATCATAGCCTAGCCTAGGAGCCGCATAGCGTGAATCGTCCCAGTGGGTGCATTTGTGTTTGTTGACTGGTGCCTGTAGGTCGACGCCATTGTTGGTAGGTGTTGTTGTTAGTGCTGACTCAGTGGCCCTCCTCACCCTGTACCGTGCTCACCATCATCGCTTGTGTCATTCCATCTCACTGAAGGGCTTCCTCCTGTTTGGCCTCGCCTCGGCTTTTCCCAGGTGAGCGTGGAGTGCTTCTCCCGGGACTGAGTGCTCCCAGGAGCACGCCCAAATGCTCGAGACGGAGCCTTGCCACCCTCTCTTCTAAGGAGCAATCTGGCTGTACTTTTCTAAGACATTGGAATGAAAACAATCTGGCTCAAGACAGTCTCCATTTTTTCCAGAACACTGAGGTTAAGGTGAAAGTCTTCACTCTCCAGCTTCTTCTCCGACTCCATTCTCCTCTTCCCTCCCCTCCCCTTGTCTCCAGGATTGACCTTGGCTGTTCTCTGAGACTTCCTTGAAGAAAGCCTACAGGCCCCGCACTTCCTATTCTATTATCCCCTTCATTTTCTTCCAAGCACTGTCACGGCCTGACAGTGTGTGTAGATTTGGTATTTGCTTTTGTATTCACCCACCAGAATGTTTTAGTGCAGCGGTTCTCAACCCTCCTCATGCTCTGACCCTTTCACACAGTTCCTCATGTGGTGGTGACCCCCCAACCATCAAAGTATTTTCGTTGCCACTTCATCACTGTCATTTTGCTACTGTTCTGAATCGGGTGACCCCTGTGAAAGGGTCGTTCGACCCCCAAAGGGGTCTCGACCCACAAGCTGAGAACCGCTATTGTAGTTGACTGACTAAATAGGTTGAAAGGAGCAGGAGCCATTAGAGTGGGACAAGACACAAATTGCTTAGTGCTCTAGACAGTAAACCAAGGGCTTTACCTTCTAGCCCAGGGCCACCAGAGTGGGAAAAGGGAGAAGAAAACTTTGAAGAGAGAACCCAGGCCATGAAGCCCAGATGGGCCACAGTGGGGCGGTAGAAGGTTCAGGGTGAGAGTGGTGCACAAACTGGGGGGTGCTCAGGAATGAGGTCTCGTGCTGTCTTTTGGACTGGTCACTCGGGAAGCCAGGAGTGTAGAGGCTGGAGAGCTTCTGATGTCCTCAAAGCATGCTGGTAGCACCCTCCAAGACCCCACACCTCCCAGCAGGACTACCAGGGCAGCTGACCTGGCTTGCTTCCACTCTGCCCCAGGAGGGCAGAGGAAGTGGTATGAATGAGGCCCCTTATGTTTTGCTCGCTTTCTCTGGTCACATGGCGTCTGTGAGGGTGTACTCTGTCAGGAAGTGTGCGTGGCATATGTCCATCTTCTCATGTAACCTACACAATAAGCTCAGGAGGCTGGTTCTATGAACTCAACTTTGCAGATGAAGAATTGAGGTTTCAAGGGTAACAGAGGTTTCAATTGAGGTAACAGAGATTCAGAGAGGGCAAGCTCCCAACTCAAGATCTGGACATTTGGACACAGTGTTGCTATGATACTGCAGAAGTCTCATCAGAGCTTCCCGGTAAGATGGACTAGGGGGAAAGGTTTGGTGATCTATTTCCGAAAACCAGTCATTGAAAACCCTGTGATCCCAATGGTCCCATCTGCCATAGACCCTGGAGATGTAGGGCCAGGCTGTCTGTCTTTCATTCTGCTAGACGCGGGGTTGCCAAGAAATCATGGGGTCACGGCAGCTAACAGCAGCAGAAGCAACAGACAGCCCGCCCCCAGACTACACAGTTTACGCAGGTGTCGGTAGAGCGGACAGTTACATTAGGCTCGCTAGACTGCACTGGGGGACTACCTTTGCGGGCCCCTCCCTCTGCCTCACCTGTATTGTGCTGTTCTCTCGCCGGCCGCCGGTGGGGACAGTGACTGAGGGACTAAAGAGGTGGTAAAAGGGCTCTGTGGATTATGGGGGAGAGTGGACGAGCCCACCTAGTGCCATTGCTCCTCCAAGACTGGCCCAGCAATGAATAAATACCCTCCAAACAAACAAGCAAACACACAAACAAACTCCCTGTTAGTGTGTTGGTTGCAAGGCATAGTGACCCTATATGAGAGCCTGGTACTGCCCCTGTGACTTTCCAAGACTGTACGTCTGTACGTCTTTCCTGGGCTGGAAAGCCTCATCCTTGCCCCGCAGAACGGCTGGCAGTTTCGAAGGGCTCACCTAGCAGGGAAAAGCCTAACAAGTAGTAACCCATGAAGCCTCCTCAAAAGGGTGACCATAATTTGGGAAATGCCCTTGAGGGGGTGTGCATGAGGGGGGGGGTGTCAGGTGCGTCACGCGGGCTCCGACCCATAGCCACCCTGTGCAGGCCTGCGCCAGCCTCACCAGTATCCCTCCCCCTGAGCCTGCGGATGCAGCCCCGGTGTCAATCCCTCCCGTGGGTGGAGGGCCTTCCTCTTTTTTTGCCGCCCTTCCACTTACCAAGCAGGATGTCCTTCCCAGGGACTGGTCTCTCCTGGCCATGTGTCCGAAGGATGTAAGATGAAGTCTTGCCATCCTTGCCTCTAGGGAGCACCGTGGCCTGACTTCCTCCAGCACAGATGGGTTTGGAGTACTTTCCTACTTTCCGTAGCCTTTTCTAGCACCACAGTTCCAAAGCGAGAGACGGAGGGTGAGGAGTCCAGGCAGCGCGTGGCTAAGCCACTAGGTGTCACCGCAGATTGCTGGCTCATCACTTGGGGCTGGAGGGGAAATTCTGCCCCAGGACCTCAGGAAGAGGTGGGAGTAGAGCATTTCTTGGGGAATTCTTGAAACCCATTGGTCACTAAGAGGATTTAGTCCCGAGCATAAGTTGAATATTCGACACCAAT